TCTGCCTGCTACTCCTTCTCACCACACACAGATCATTCATGCTCATACTCACTCATACGCAAGTCACACATACTCAGGTTCATTCAAACTCAAGCTCACTCAGAGTCAGACTCGCTTGCGCTCAGACTCGCTCACATTCAGACTCACACCCAGACTCTTATACCTAGACCCGATCCTTGTTCTTTATTGGTGTGTACTTCTACTCTGATACAGAGCCCGTCGATTGGGTGGTCCCACCTTAACGGCCAAAAGCAGTACAACAGCAAGGTTGTTCGTCGGTGCGGAGTGCGTAGCAGGAGTGGGACGCAGTGCGCATTCCGCGCGAAAGGCCGACATTGCGCTCTCGCCTTGGCGTCGCGTTCATTTTTCTAGAGAGTTGAGCTTCCGCTTGGGCACGGCGCACCTCTTTCGCATGCAAAATCGTCGACGCGCGAGCGGGCGAACACGTCGTTCTCGCTTCGGCGCTTCGCAGCTTTCGCCTGAAAGTGGCCTTCCCGCTTCGACGCGGCGTTTGTCTTCCACTTGCCAATGTTTTGGGACCATGGGCGACTTGTCGCCCTTGCCCAAGCTCCGTGCGCATTTCGCTTGGAGGTGGCGTTCCCGCGCGGGCGCGGCGCGTGGCTCATTCGCCGAATCGCACTTAAACGACAGCGGCCGCGGGGCGGCGCGAGAGCGGGAGAAATGCTCTCGCCCAAGCTTTGCGCAGCTTGCGAGTGCATTGGCAGTGTTGTGTCACCGCGGCGAATGCGTCGTCGCCGCCGCCCATGGGAAGTTTTGCCGCTCCCGCCTTTGCGCGGCCCGCGTAATTTTCCCTCCGCCAAGTCGTCGGAAGCGGGGCCGCGCGCGAGCGCTTTCCGTTTGCGAGGTGGGAACGCGTTCCGATCCCAGAGCCATGTTGTCCTCTTGCACAGGGTGTCTAGAGTTCCGACCACTTTGTTCCGCGTCGCCCCCCCCCCCCTGCCCGTGTCCCCAGCGCCAGAGTGGGACCCCCGCGCCGTGGCTCTCTGCCCCGAGCTCCCCCGCCCCAGCGCCCCAGCGGGAGCCCCGCCCACCGCCCCCTCGTCCACGAACGTATTCCTCGTCGCACATCGCCCCCCGTCCCGCGTCCCCAGCCGTGGACAAATATGCTAACATTAAGGGTCCTTTCAGGACGAGGGAGGATACATCGTGATCGGAAGCGGTGGAGAGGCGAGAGGAACAGGACGAGGACCAGGATGGATGCCATCGTGAACAAAACGCCAGGCCCCGTTAAGCCCCCTAGCCTGGCAAGAGAACCGAGCAGCTCAGACGGCACATTTTTGCACACATTCGTGCTAAAGCAGATGAGCCAACATATAAGGAAATTAATGTGGTGGAGAATCATGCAACAGAGTCCTGTCCGAGTTACCGAGGCGGAAACTGCTAGATATCCAGCAAGACTGTGTAGGAGGCGAATGTTGGGTGGGGGGCAGCACGTTTCATGGAGTGTGTGTGTGTGTGTGTGTGTGTGTGTGTGTGTGTGTGTGTGTGTGTGTGCGTGCGTGCGTGCGTGCGTGTGTGTGTGTGTGTGTGTTGACGGTCACGGCTTGCGATTCGCAAGCTGTCTTAGGCAGATGAGGAGCACTCTGCGCCGAGGCCGTGCCTCCTGGTGCCGCGAGGGGGAGGCCGAGCCAGTCCCGCCTCGGACCTGGGCCCGCCACGGGGGAACAGTACAGGGCTGGGGGCGGGGAGCTAGTGGAGATGGCTGGCGTTCCCGAGGTGCAGGTCCCGCGGCCGGGCAAGGAAGCATGTGTCCCGCAACCGCCTTGGGCACTCCAAAGGGCGACCCGTCGCGGCTTGAGGAACCCAGAAGCCACACACACACACACACACGGCACCAGCCGAGGCAGTCACCGAGGTTCCTGCACTTCAGGAAGTCCCAGACCAGCCCGCCCGAGACCCCTGTCCGCCCCCCCACACCGCCCCCCTGGCGGAAACCACGGGCGGCCCAGCCGTCTCCAGCGACCGGGCGAAGCAAGAGTCTCTCCCCCAGAATCCGGACATGCGCAAACCGAGGTGGCGATCGGGCTGCTACCTGCCTGTTTTCCTGGGAGGGGGACCTTCATTGTGTGTGTGTGTGCGGGTGGGTAGGTAGGTTGGTGGGGGCGTGGGGGGGGCGTGGGTGAGTGTGTTTGTGTGTAGGAGGGGAGCAAATCGCCTGGCTGATATTGGCATCGGGGCGTCCGCGCTACAAGTGTTGCGAGCGTTGTTGAGAAAGTGGGGGAGGATGGATGGCAGGAGGAGGAGGAGGACAAGGACAAGGACAAGCATGAGGATAAGGAGGAGGAGGAAGAGGAGGAGGACGACGACTGGAACCCCCAAACTCAGCAACGATGTTTGAATCAACCCTCCCTCAAAGCTTCGTGTTCATAGGCCCATACACAAGGGTTGATCTCCCCTGAAGGATCTGCCTCGTTGGGAGACAACCGTTTGAAGACCCTGAAGCGTGCCATAACACCATTCTCGGGACTCCAACACCACGAATCGACATGACTGTTGCGTCTTGGCGATCTGGAATCGCACCAGAACACCGTTTTTGGGATTCCAACACCGCGAATCAACGTAACTGTTACACCCTCACAGTTTCCAGAACACCAATTGTTGACGCTTCGCGAATCCCCACCAGCCCATCCAGAAACGATGCCCAGAGGAATAGTAAAATCAATGATTTGGCATTCTCGCCGAGGTCTCTCGGAGCATCTTAAGTGCCTCTGGGGGGTCTCCTGGGGCCTCCTGGGGGTCTCTTGGGAGCCTCTTGGGGGCATCCTGGGGGCCTCTTGGGGCTTCCTGGCCAACTCTTTGGGCCTTCTTGGGGCACCTTTGGGAGCCTTGGGGGCCATCTATGGGCCATCTTGGGTGAGACCGATCACAGGAGGAGGGGGCACTAATTAGCCCCCCCCTCTCAGGAGGCCAAAATGGGGCCAAAACCATAGTAAAACCTATGATTTTGGCTTCCTCGCCGAGGCCGTTTTGGACGCTCCGACACCTCGCGAACCCCCCCGTCCAGGTCCATGGGGAGGGGGTAGGGGGAGGGGTCAAGACCCCCTCCCCGCCCTCAAGCCGTCCCGCTCACTCCCACCCGCCCTCCCAACACATACGTAGCACCCGAGTCTGGCCCGAGCCTCAGCATATTCAGCAGTCGTCTTTGGATGGGCAGCTACTGGGGGCCAATCCGCCGCCGCCGCCGCCTCCGCCGCCGCCGCCGCCGCCGCCGCCGCCGCTGCCCGCCGCCGCCGCCCGCCGCCGCCGCCGCCGCCGCCCCCCGCTGCCAAACCGCCGCCGCAGCCGCAGCCGCTGCCGCCACCGCCGCCGCCGCCGCCGCCGCCGCCGCAACCGCCGCCGCCGCCGCCGCCGCCGCCCCCGCAGCCGCCGCCGCCGCCGCAGCCGCCGCAGCCGCCGCCGCCGCCGCAGCCGCCGCAGCCGCCGCCGCCGCCGCCAAGTGTACTCTGTTTTGTTTTTTGACAGGGATGGTGGGGGGCGGCCGCATCGGGTTGGCCGCGCATGTTCCGAATTTGGAGGCAGAGTGTGTTTTGTATTGTTTTTGACAAGGGATGGTGGGGGGGTGTTGTCATGGATTCGGGTTGGCCCCCAGTCGCCTGGGGGAGGGGGTGTTTATTAATAGGGAACAGTGGTAAACCCCTCCCCGGAGGGGAAGAAGGAGGGGTGGAAGAGTAAACTCCCTAAACCACCGACTCCCAGGGGGCTGGTGGGATTCTGGCACACTGACCATGGGAATCCGTGGAACTCTCGTAAATGTTTATGACGAGTGTGCGCGGCCCTAAGGCGAGAGCCACATGTTAAAAAGGAGCCGTCTTCAATACGCAAAACGTATGCAAATGTTTAAAACGAGCGTGCGCGCCGCTGAGGCGAGAGCGACATTTTGGAAGCCTCCCGCCCTGCATCTGTGAAAGTGCTGTTAGTTTCTAAGCTTCAGGTTCATACATGGTGAGGAATTCTCAGGCGAAGCGCCCAGCCCGCCATTTCGACCGGCCTCGCGGCGCGACAGGAAGGGCTTATTATAAGGAAAAGGAATTGAGAGGAGGAAGAGGAGAAGGAGGAGGAGGAGAAGGAGGATGAGGCAGGGTCAATGTGACACCGTTTTCCGCTGGCCCCCTCGCTCTCTGTCTATCCCAGATCTTCGCCAAGTCTGCGCGTATGTTGGACTGCAGCCAGGCGCTCGTGCTGTCTCCTTCTCGCCTCTTCAACCCCCAGTTCCACATGAGCTCGGACAGAATCTAGGGCCGTGTCACCCCGTCCTGCAGGCTATCCACGCTTCGATTCGCGTCGCCTTGATCGCGGCCGCCCCTCGCGAGAGCCCGGCGTACCTGCCGATCGCGGTCGCGGTGGTCGCCGACCGCGCCATCGCCGGCCGCTCGGTCGGGCCGGCTCGGATCTGCGCGGCCCTGTCGGCGCGCCACCATGGGCGGCCCTGCGATGCGACCTCGGTCCCGCCCAAGGGCCCTGGTGGGGCCCAGGTGGTGCCCCGCTGGAGCGGGCCGACGAGCCGCGCGACCAAGCCGAGCCGACCCAGCGGCCGGCGAGGGCTTGCCCTGCCCTGCCGAGCTCTGGAGGTTCCAGAGCTCGGCGGGGCGGCTGGTCCCTGGGCTGTTACTGGGGACATTACTTCCCTGCCCGAGGAGACCCAGAACTTGCGGGGCTCATCAGGCGTGGGAGTGCGCGCATCGGGAGGCGGTCGGCGATCGAGGACCGATTTATGGCCACCGCTCCCGCGCGCACTGTGTGCCCGAAAAAGCTCGTTTGCAGGTTTGCGTAGATCGTGCCCCCCCAGGGGTGCAATTTTGGTACACAGCCCCCGCTCCCCAGTCTTGTGCCGGACCAGCTTGCTTGTGGGGGTTGTGTACAAGCATCGCGTCCCCACTGGGTGGGCGAGTGCGAGAGGCACTGGGCGCATCAAGGGGCGGTCGGCGATCATCGCGACCGGCGCCGCGGCCTGGGCCGCGCCTGGCCCCGCGGTTCCCCAGGTGGCGCTGCGCTGGAGCCGGCAGCGGCAGCGCCCTCGGGGTCTCCGAGCGCGGCCTCGAGAGACGAGAGGCCCCGCAGGGCCGATGGCCCACGCCGGGGCGCCCGCGCGTCCTCGGGGGTGATGGGCCAATTGTCCACCACCACTGCCACAGGTAGGACGGGGGGGAAGGGAGGATGGGGAGCTCCTCCTCCTCCTCCTCCTCCTTCTCCTCCTCCTCCTCCTCCTACTCCTCCTCCCTCTCCTACCTGTGGTAGTGGTAGTGGTGGTGGGAGATCGGCCCATCATGGGGGGGGCGAGGTGGCGACAGTTCTGCGTGCCCGTGACCACTTGCGGTCCCTACCTCTTGGCCGCGCGCTGGGGGGTGTGGGGGGAGGGGGACGGCTTGTTAGAACCACCCTGCTTCTTAGAAGACGTGGGCCTCATCTATAAATGTAAGGCCGGCGCCTTCTGAGAAGCAGCCTCTTTACAAGAAGCCTTTTTTCCTCACTCCACCCCCTCGTGCGTGTCGCCAAACCTCTGCGGGTCCACTCGACGTTGGGGCATCGGACACCCCCGCTGGATTTCACGCGGCTGCAGGCGTCCTTCGATTCTCCCCCACTGTTTCAGGAAGCTTGCCTGCAGGGGCAGGCCACACATGTGGCTGCCTCACCGAGGTGCGGGGGGTGGCGGTGCGGGGCAAGTGGCAAGTCGGAGGTGTGGATCCAACCCGTGCGCATGGGGCTGGAACGGATGGTGTCGGAGGATCGCGCCGCATTTCCGATCCATCGGCGATGCCGCGGGACTGGGGCCCGATTTTCTCCATCCCGTCGTCGCCGATGCTCGGGGCCTGTTTCGGCAGTCTCCAGTGGGGAGTGTTTCGACTGACATAATGGAGTCCGCGCTAATTTCTTGTGTCGGCGCTTGTCCCCCCTGGGCCATGCCTCTGGCGCCGCCTCTGGCGCGCCCCGCGCGCGCCAGAGAAGGAGTGTCCAGCGCCGATCCAAAAACTCTGCGCGGACCTCCGATAGTCCCTGTCTATGCAGTTCGTTGCTCCTTCAGTGGTAGTTGTGCAGTAGCAGTGACCAGGCGTGGGGTTCAGTGGTGAGGGGATGGTAGTGACAATGGAGGTTGGGGGTGTTGGCGGGTCGTGTCCGAGGTAGAAGTGATGGCTTAAAACTATCGGGTTAATGAAGGATGCTGCGACTTGAGCCCCACTCCCCCGATCTTAGATCACTGTGGCATGAGGTAAGCGTGGTTGAAGCAATCGCCGATGATGTGCGGTGAGGAGTAGAGTACAACTGTTTTCCTGTGTGCCTTGATTTGTTCGTGGGCTCGCTTGCGTGACGCGGTCTGGGCATTTGTATACCTGTTTCATCCGTGTTCGCCAGAGACTTGTACCGACTGGATTCGTTTCGGGACTGGACAGCTCGGCTAGCTTTCAACATGTCTGATCGCGTGTCTAGCAGCCTCTCCCCTTACTGCCACGTCGCTGCCACAGCTCTTTCGGCCCAGGCAGAGCGCATCCTCTTCTTCGTCTTCGCGCCCACAGCCAGAGGTGCGCGGGGGAAGTGCAGTGCCGCGCTCTCTCAGCAACAATGAGCCCGAAGTCGAAGGAATGATACAACACTTGCGCGGCACCAGCAGTGACCTTTGTGAACTTGAGGTCGGGGCTAACCTCCGCCCGCATAGTTATGGCCATTAAACATGGGTTAAAAGGGCGCTGGGAGCAGGTGCGGCAGAATACACCTCGTATCTGTGCCTTGCCAGGAAGTCGCGCAGAGCTGCACTGAGTTACTGAAAACACGTCGCATTGGACCATCAGTGTGTCGCTGGTGTGCGGAGACAACGCGTGCAATATCAAGCTGGCGTTGCTCTAGGGGAGCGTGCTGACTCTCCTACGCCTAGGAGGAATTCGCAGGCACGTTAAGTAACACAGTCGCAGTGGATATGTAGCGCCCAGTCGATTTAAGATCTGCAACATGCTGTATAATACGATCGGGGTGCGTTCACAGTAGCGTGCGATGATAATTGCCAGCGTATGAGTACTTTCCGTGAGGGAGCAGGATTTCGCGAGCCCGAACCAGCAGGTCAGTAGAGAGTGCGACAGGTGTCAGGCAATAAAACGTATCTGCAGAAGCAGTGTGTATTATGTAGTGGGCGGTGGGTGGGAAGCAGTGTGTCTTATGTAATGGGTTGTAGGTGGCCGGCTGACCAATGACAACGATGTGTTTATTCCCCAGTCAGTCCTTGCGCTGAAGGGGTCCTATCGGAGATTGAAAGATTTGGCGCGCATTTTCCCGCCGATTTTGGTAGCCAGCTGGGTTCCCGGGTTCCCGGTTCCAGATTCCCGGGTTCCCGGTCATTGGTTTTGGGCCGATTTCGGTGGGTTGTGGGTTCCCGGGTTTCCGGGTTCCCGGTCGATCTTCTTATCGATCTCCTTATCGATCCCATTTCAAACCATCCATTGATTGGGGGTTTTCTTTGGTGTAATGGCCTCCTGGGCAGCCCGTGGGCATGAGAAGATATGCGAAGAGCGCTATGGGCGCGGGCAAGGTTCCATTCCAATTTTTATGCGGCTTGGGCCTGGGGGACCTGGAAGTAGTGTCCAGATTCGTGGGCACAGTGACAGCGTTCATCACTTGCGGACACGCCGTGAGACTACTGACGGTCGGATGCTGGGGTGTGTGGGTGATGAGCCCGACGCAAAACGGGTTGCCCCTCTCCGCCACGACATCGATTTCTGTTCTGGTTCGTGTCGCGCGTGTGGGCGAGGTGGCAAAGCTGTGCGAGCGCGAGACGGGCTCTTCCCTAGCCAAGGGGCGTGAACGTCAGATTGTTCGGCGCCCCCAAGCCATCCAAGGTGGCCTGGGCCATCCCGCGGTTGACCTGTGGTTGTCTGGTCGTGGTTCTGTGCTGTTGCGCTGTGGTTGCCCCATGGTTCGACAAAAAGTGATGTATGTATTTATATGTATACGCGTATACATACATATATATACATATGTGTATATATATACACATATACATATACACATACATACAATACATCTACCTGCACATCTGGGGGGTGGGACGCCCCCCCCGGGCTGGATCTTCCAGAATCCCTGGCTTCTCGGGCTCCTGGACGCCCCTGCCGAGGGTCCCATGAGACCTCCAGGCTTCTGGGAGTCCCTGCCAAGTCGTGCAAACGAGCCGGCGGTAGCCCCAAGAGAGTCCAACATGGCCCCCTGATGGCCCAAGAGACCTTCCAAACGCCCCGAAGAGCTTCAAGAGGAACCCCCAAGTGGGCCTCCAAAAGCAAAACCTGTGCGCTTCCCATAGGTGTTTGCATTATTTTGGCATTATCGTTTTGTCGTGCTACCGACGCACTTGGAAGGCCCAAAAGGCCCCCAACATCGCCCCAGGACAACCCATGACGGCCCGAGAAGACTCTAAGACGGGCGAAGATGCCCCCACGATCCCCGAAGAAGGCCCCAAGACGGACCTTCAGATTGCCACCAGGCGCGAGCCCTCCGGCCCTAAAGGACCCACGAAACTGCGAACAGGCGCCCAAACGCCCCAACCAGGCTTCACGAGGTTAAGACCGAACACAATCCAGAGGGGGTTCCAAGTTATCACCCAAACCAGCAACACTGTTTCCGTGACGACCGAAAGACGCCTCCCCACAGACCCAAACACATCGAAGAGGCCTTTGACGTACGACCCCACATTGGCGCCCTCATCCAGCATTTCCACCAAAGATGCCCGAATTCCAATTTCGCGACGTTCCCCCCAGGCACGTGGATCGGTCGGTCGGTCGCTGCATCGGGCCTCGAGTCGAAGGATCAGCTGCAACACATCTCGGGAGGAAGCAAATCGATATGTACGACCTGCAGTGCGCGCCAAACAGATCGGAGAAGGTGCGCCCTCCCTTGGAGCCCCGAATTGTCTTCGCTCTACCATTTGCGGTGAGACTCCAGGAGTTAAAATCTCTCGGTGAGGCTAAGTGTCGAGAGCGATACGATATCTACTGCTGCTGTACTCTTGCTACGTTGCGTGCGCGTGCAAATCGTGTGCTGTACATCTGCTCTGCGAAGGGGGGAGGCCGAGGTCACTTCAGGAGGAGGAGGGGGGAATGATGGCAGGAAGGGATCATTCACTGGGCGCTCCTCGCCCCGACCATCTCTGACTGTCGACCGACCACGCTCGGCAGTGACGTGCGCCACACTGTCTGACACTGCGACCGTCACCGCACCCCTCGAGCGTCCTGACGCGGAGGCCGTCGCACCCACTGTTCTCGTTGCACTCGCTGAGGCCGTCGCATCATCTGGTCCATCGCTATCTGTAGGAGCCGCTCCTGATGTCCTCTGGGCGCAGGCCCGACCTTGAGCTCCGCCCCGAGCTGCTCGGCGCACTTCAGAAAGCTCTGCTCCATGGCGGCATCGCTGACGCTGAACACGAGCTTCGCCTGGTTCTCCTTCCAGCGCTGGGACACGCGGCAGCCTCGCACCACCATCGCCAGCGTGTCGATCGGCATCGGCTCGAGCGCGGCATAGTGCGTGGCCCACTCGTCCTTGTTGCGGCCGCCCACGCGATCGCCTGCATCCTTCACTGCCAGCGCGATCTGCAGGAACACCTGGACGCACGCGGGCCCCATGATGAACTCGGGCGGCTTGTTCTTCGTCGGGTCCGATAGGTAGAGAGCCCGCTGCTTCTGCGCCTCCAGCGCGTACGCCTTGCCCGCGGTGAAGCCCGCCACCGCCAGCGCGTTGTCCTCGTTCACCACCATTGTGTGGTAGGTGGTGGCCATCAGCTGCCTGATGTTGAACGAGTTGCCGAGCACGGCCTTCGCGAGCACTGGGATGAGCTTGAGCGCCATCTGCATCTCCATCGGCGGCAGGCGGTCCAGCGCGTCCTGCGGGAGGCCGTAGTTCCGAGCGAGCTCGGACTGCATCTCGCGCCGACCGCCCCGACTGCGAGGCCCTGGCACAGCGACTTCGGCCCCTCTGGCCGCCGACGGCGGCTGCTGCTGGGCGGGGGCTGCGGCGCGGCTGTCGGCGCTGCGGCCTCCTCCGCGCGCGCGGCGGTGTTGCGCTCCACGGCTGACGCTCTCGGAGCCACCGCGGCCACCTCGCCCAGCAGCGACTCGGCGATTGTGGGAGCGTGAGCGACCCTTGGCGGCGTCCTGCAGGGCCTGCTGGCTCAGGCGGAAGGCCATGCGCACTGCCTGCGCCCGCTGGGGCGCGTCGCGGCAAGGGCTGAGGCGCGTGCCGCTCGAGCAAGTGCACCTGCAGGGCCGCGAGGTCCTCGAAGGGCTCTCCCATGGAACATGCGAACTCGAGGGGCCTGGAGCCTGGCATGAGGGCTGAGACCGTGATGGAAGCCAGGGGGCACATCAGAGACTGGGGCTCCGCAACCTGGTGGAAGTAGGGCGACCGCTGAACTGGACATCGGCGATTCAAACAGGCTGTGACCGCATGCTCCTGAGCAATCCGACGAGTCCTGAATGCACTGGAGCAGAACAGACATTGGTTGGTAACGGCGATGGAACGGACCGACAACCATGGCCTGCATTTTTCAGAAATTTCTGATGGGCGATCAGCGCGCGCCGAGTGGCGAACTCGCGCCCGCGCACGACGCCCTCGGCATCCAGCAGCTCGCAGCCCCAGGCCGCCGTCGGCGTCGGGGGCGCCCCCGCATCGGCAGCAGGCGGGCGCCAGCCAGGCGGTGGGATCGCCACAGTGCGCGCTTGAGCGCGCAGCAGACCAGGGTCCAGCGCCAGGTAGCCGTCGCGCAGGTCCTCGCAGGAGAACAACGCGATCACGTTCAGCGAGCCACCAGGCGTCCGCAGATCCTCGCGAAGCTCCGCCGCCTCGGCGGCCTCCAGCAGCGCCTCCACGTCCGCGACGAACCGCAGCGCGCACGGGCTGGCCCCGCCCGAGACGGAGCCGCCCGAACCGAGCGTAGGTGTCCGTTCGAGCGGCAACTCCCCGAAGACGACCGCCAGCTCCTGCGGGTGTCGCTCGGGTCGCCATAGCCAGCGCTGGCATTGGCGAAGGCGCCGAACGCGGAGCTCAGTAGCAGCAGGGGCAATGCGGAGCCTCCTCAGCACGGCCTCGTCCGTCATGGCCTTGTACTTCAGCAGGGGCTTCCCAGCTGCATCGAATTGCGGATTGCCGTCGCTGTCGACGATGGGGCGTTTCTGACACGCAGCGCCCGGCAGCAAGCGTCGACCCAAGCTGGAAAGGACCCTGTCGAGCTGCTAGTGCTGCGCCGCGCTGAGAATGAGGACGTTCATCCCGCTGAGCGCCGCCTCCTGCACGACTGAGCCGAACACGATCCGCGTCAGGCGCCAGACGCGGTTCCTCGACCAGGAGCGTCCCATGCTGTAGTATCCCCTACGGGCAGCTTGCAGCCGTCGCCGAAGCTCCGTCTGCGCGCTGCCCGCGATGGAAGTCTGGATGCCGAGGGCCACATTGTCGCACTGCACAGCACCCGCGATAGCCTCCGAGCTGCCGAAGAGCTGCCGCGCCTCGTGCTGGGCGCCAGGGCCCACGAAACAGGGCGAGACGGAGCTCT